ATCCTATTTCAGTATATGTTTCAAAAACCTATATACAACAAGATTGTTTTTTATTATTTGTGTCGTTTTGGTCTCATTGAAGTATATGCCACACCAGTTGACTGTCGTTGGAAAACTGTCGTATTGTCGTTAATGCCACATTATTTAACTACTTGCGTCGTTAGTGTACTTTCTCGTTGGCGAAAATGCCATAGCTTTTTATTGTTAGTGTCGTTGGTTTCTTGTCTAATTGAAGTATATGACACATTTGTTGTGTCATTGGAGTACTGTCTAATTGCGTATACGCAACTTTTTTTTTATTATTGTTTTGTCGATGGGGTACTGTTTCTCTAGCGTATATGTAAGATTAGCTTCTTTTGTCTCTTTTACTCTTTTCGTTATGAGGAAACTATCTCATTCACGTAAAAAAATGTATATGCCAATTTTTGCACTATTAAAGGTACATTCTTATTGACGAATATGCCACTTTTTCATTACTTGCGTCGTTGAAGTACTGTGTCATCGACATATATGACACATCTTTTTTCATTGTTTTTGTCGTTGGGAGTTCTGTCTCATTTACGTATATGCCACATCTTGTTTTAATATTTCTATCGTTAATGTAATGTCTCATTTACGTATATGACACGTCTTATTTTAATATTTCTATCGTTAAGGTACTGTCTCATTTACGTATATAGCACATCTTATTTTAATATTTCCATCGTTAGGGTACTGTATCATTGACGCATATGCCATAACCTTTTTTTTAATAAACATTGTTATCATTTGTATCGTTGAAATACTGTGTCATTGATGTTTTTTGCACATCGTGTTTATCGTTTGTGTCGTTCGGTACTGTATCCTTGACGGATATGCAACATTTGTTTTATTTGAATCGTTAGGGTACCGCCTCATTTACGAATATGCCACATCTTTCTGTCTTTGTGTCGTCAGGGTATATTCTGGTTGACGTATATGCCACTTTTTTGTTTTCCCGTGTCGTAAGGGTTCTGTCTCATTGCCGAGCATGCCACATATAATTTTTCAAATATGTGTGGTTTGAGTACGGTCTGATTTAACCAATATGTCACAATTTTTTTTCGCGTCGTTAAGGTACTGTCACATTGACGAATATGCCACAACTTTTGTCTGATTTATGTCATGTCTTCATACGACACATCCCATTGAAGTATGTTTCAAAAACATATATGCCACAACATTGTTTTTATTATTTGTGTCGTTTGAGTCTCATTGAAGTATATGCCACACCATTTTACTGTCGTTGGAGTACTGTCTGATTGTCGTTGATGCCACATTATTTAAATACTTGCGTCGTTAGTGTACTTTCTCTTTGGCAAAAAATGCCATAGCTTTTTTTTCATGGTTATTTGTCGTTGGTTTTTTAAAACTATTTGTGTCATTAGAGTACCGTCTTATTGCGTATATGCAACCTTTTATTATTATTATTTTTTCTCGTTGGGGTACTCTTCTTCTTGTGTGTATGCACTATTTGCTGCTCATGTCTCATTCACTATTTGGGTTGTGAAAATACTGTATCGCTGATGTACAGAAATGTAAATGCCACTTCATACACTATTCTTAATGTAAAGATACTTTCTTATTGGCGAAAATGACACAATTTGTTTTATTATTTCCGTTAATGGCATATTGTGTCATTAAAGTTCAAGCGACATATTTTTATAATTTGTTTCGCCGGATACTGTCTTGTTAACGTCGTTTAGCTGTGCGGAATGTACAAGTACGAAGCCACGTCCGGTCAGAATGGGGACGTTTTATATGATGCCTCATGTCTAGAGAACACCATGCTCATTGCACGTTAAAAACCTTTGCAACATTTCTGTCCCAATCAACTTTACCCTCATTTTCCAGTCAATATATCCCCGACTTTCATCTCGGACGGCCTCTATTTTAGGACCTACCTTTTGCCTTTAATATTAATTTGTTCTCGTCTGAACTTGAAAAGTATGCCACTGGACTTTAAGCAACCCACAATCGATCATTGACGCATATGCCACATTGTTTTATTTTTTTTTTTGGGGGGGGGGGGGGGGGGGGGGGGGGGTGGATGAGTTACATGACACATCTGTTTTTATTATTAATTTCGTTAGTTTACTGTGCCATTGATTTTTATGATACATCCTATTTTAGGATAGGTTTCGTTAACCTATTCAACATTTGTTTATATACATTGGAGTTATGTTTTATTGACGTGTATGCCAGTATGCCACATCTTCCTTTAGAACATGTGTCGTTACGGTTGTATCTCATATGCCATACCTTTTTTTCATTATCTGCGTCGTAAGGGTATATTGTCATTGACGTATATTCCACATCTTTTTTTCTGTTTGAGTACTGTATCCTTGGCGTATGTGACACATCTTTTTTGTTTCTTTGTGTTGTTTGGTTACTGTCTCATTCACTAATGTCACATCTTTTTTTAAAGATTTGTGTTCTTTTGAGTAGTGCATCATTGACATATTTTTTTTAATAATTTGTGCCGTTAGGGTACTGTCTCTTTGACGTATTTTTCACATCTTGTATGTTTGTGTATGGTGTCATTGATGTTTACCACATGAGCTTTCTTTCTTTGGCCTTCATTTTTGTGAGGACGTGAAATACTAATGGTTGGTTCAATAACGTCCAGTGACAAATGTTAATTGAGCAGTGGCAAAAATGTCCTTCATATTAAAGACCCGACGAATAAAAAATTGATACAATACGTGCATTGAAGTCTACAGGAATAAACTTGAAGAGGGGTGAGGTTTTTTTTTTGGAGGTAGGGGTTTATGAACTGACGAATGAAAGTGACACATTAAAATTTGCACTATTTTACTAAAGATCCGTACAGAATCTATTTATTTCGAGAAAGGTTATTATTAAAAAATGACTAAGGACATACATATAACTTAAATTTAAATAATAATCTATATTGCAAAAAGTCAAACTCCGACGGGTTAAAATGCAAACATTATATGTACATAAGAAGCATACAACACAGGAAAAAAAGATCTAAACTAGCCAAGTTAATAATAAATACATAACACAATGTTTGCCGGTTTTTAAAAGATGCTCAGAAATATACTTGAGTTTTTGCACCAACCATTACAACCAAGCTAGCAAGTGGAAGTGAACCAAGCACAACACGTCCTTCCCATATTTAAAATTTCCCGCAAATTTCATATAAAGCTGTTTTGTTGTCGCAAATAAAATTTAAGATGCAATCATATAATACATACACATAAAATATATTTATTAGAATATATTCCGAATGGACTATTCAATCCATTTTGATTCAGTAAGAAAACAAGAATTATTTGAACGCCTGATAATAATTTCGTGGATAATATCTTTCTCATCCGAGTATGAATTACACATAAACGATAAGAGCATGTACATTGTTTCTTTCTCGGAAAACGTTTTTGATTTTCCATATTGAAACATATAGGACAAATGATTGTTCAATGTTTTAAAAAATAGCCGACAAATTAATATTCGACCAATATTTATAGATTATAACATGCTCTTTTCCATATTGGCCCTGGTATCATCCCGAGACTTTTCCATATTGGCCCTGGTATCATCCCGAGACTCCCATATTGGCCCGAGGCTAAAGCCGAGGGCCGATATGGGAGTCTCGGGATGATACCAGGGCCAATACGGAAAAGGGCATGTTATAATCTATTTATCACATATTTAAGTTCTGCAGTAAAGAGAAAAACGTTCAATTATGACTATCTGATTAACTACAAAAGGTAAAATCTAAACAGATTTATCACATTTTCCATAATTTTTTTTTTATCATGTACTGCATACATATTTATTGTAACATTCCCCTTATTTTTGAATATGGTACTACACAAAAGCAATAATTTGGCATAACTGAGGCTAAATCAATAAAAGTTAGTTGCACATTGTTAATAGTGGCCATTTTAGCAAACTCTCATAATTATCAATACAAACACCGTCATTGTTAGCCATTGCCGTTAAGGACGCAATGACGTCACGTCATTTGGAATCAGGGCACAATAACCAATAACCTCTTTTTTGCCCCGGGCAATTTTGAGGTTATTACATATGCAAAACCCAACGTATTCGTATCAAATATGTGATAATATCAAATACAACAGCCGAGGAAGATTCAAGTTACATTATCAAAATCAATCATAATCTTTCCGTAATTTTGTTTTCCACGAGATTTTATCAGGATGTATGACACAAATTATTGGAATAGTCATATCAGTCTGTATGATGTTAGACCATGTGTTATTTGTACTTGATTAACATCAAATTTTTAAAATCTTTCATCAAATCAGGATATAAAGACAGGACAAAATTTAAAACATGTAGATATTGTTTGGAATGAATACAAGAATAAATTGGTTAATATTTTGGTTGTTTATCGTCCAGTGGCAAATATATTATGCATATTCAGGATGAGAACAAATTGACAATGTATATTAAATGAACAAATTTACCGGGATGAAAGAAAGACATGAAATGGCAAATGAAGGGAAAAAAAGGAGTATCAGTTCATGAGACAGCAACCCAACGACACAATACGATGTTTAATTTGTTCCCATATTATTTACAACTTACACATCTATTTGGAATATTTATTTTGAATAACAAAAATATTGAGGACATACATATGACTTAAATTAAATTTTTCTCTTGATTTTTTTCCCCTCCAACTATCAAACAGTAAGTGGACGTACATCAAAGAACAACACGTCTTTGTTACATTTTTCTAAATTTCCATATACAGTTGATTTGTTGTCACACATGAAAATGAAGCGTATATACAGATAACATGTACATAACAATTGTGTTAATATTATCTTTAGTCTGAATATGGAATACAACTGTACAGATCATGACAATTAATTGAGTTGAATCAAAGAAAACAAAAATAAATAGAAGTTATTTTGAATGGCTAAATGCACAAACAGATCCGAGTCCGAATAAACTCATTGTCTGAAAGAATTATTCATGATTATTTATTTTGCTTTCTTTTTCACGTCAAAAAGAAAAGCATTTCCGTCATCTACATTACAAACAAGCAGAATATTTTCTTTTTTGTCAAAATAAATTCCCCACGGCTCATTCAATCCATCTGATTTAGTAAGAAATTCTATGTGATGTTTCCCATCATCTGATACAACTACTACAGTATCGGTCTCAACGTCAGTCACATAGACATTCCCCTCATTATCTGTTGTCACACAACGTAAATCTTGAATTTTATCCTGTTTAAACTTCCAAATTAGTTTTCCATCTAACGAGCAGCAGTATATTGATGTTCTGTCTCTATAGACTAACCTGTCTCGGTCTACTGTAATGTCGGTGATACGGTGTGAAGGTAAAGGTATAGTACGTATTACTTTACCTGTCAGGTCCATCACACGTATTATACTCCAATCAATAACAACGTACAGGTTATTATCATTATATGATATTCCGGAGCAGCCACCACTGGTGTTGATTGTACTGGTGACAGAACCTGTAGATATATTTATTATCAGTATGGTGTTGTCATGTATACAGGTTACTGCTACAGTATTAATATTTACCTCTGTCATATAAAATGGTTGATAGGACAGAGGAATGTGATAGATATCAGTACCGTCTGAATTACAAATAATAAGTCGGTTATTACTATAGTCGGTAAACACTAATGTATTGTCTGTTTTGATACAGCTAGAAATGTACAGATATTCATTCTTTGACTTTTGGATATTAATCTGTTGACGCAAATTGACAGAATCAGGAAGGTTGGTTTCGACAGATGTTTGGTCCTGAGCTTCTATTTTTGGTTCATTTTCTGAAATAAATAATCAAGTATCGAGTTGGTTAATTCAACAATTTATTGCTTAATCTAAAATGTAGTTTACCGCTCAAAGGGTTTAGAGTTTCTTTTGTTTTGCACACTCTATATGAGGTATTGAATTTTTCACTCTCGGATGTTATTTATTTTTATAAGTGTTATATTCACTTTCAAGTTTGAAAGCTCGTTAAAGCTCTAATTCGAGCTTAGCATAATCGAGAACAGCATATAATCCAAGGAAAATCGGAAAAAAATGTAAAAATGACAGAGATGGAAAAACAGATATGTGTAGAGCATAGGCGTGTACTGGATACACCAATGCAGTGGGAGAAGATATTTGTTTGACCCAAGAATTGTAAATCTGTGTGTATTTTAACACAAATATATGTATATGCTTCCTTTGTCCTAATCACGAGGAGAAAAAAAGGTTGGTGGTCTTTCTATATGAAAGTTTTACATAGACGTTTCGCTGAAATAGGTGCCTCTTAGATGTGTCAAATATATCAGTTGGTTGCAATTCCACCAAGGTAAAATGTAAATGAGTCGGTTATTTTTATCTTTCGATTGAATATCTGTATGCTTGTTTTTTTTCTGTTTTTAAATCAAATTCAGATGAATGTACTGATAATTATATAAAAAGTAAAATCACAATAAAATATTTAAATATATGAACGGGTAATAAGTTTGTCATGAAATATGTTCAAGGGTCGTGATTACGTACAAATTGATGAAACAAAGAAAACCAAAATGACATATAGACACGCAATATGAATGATTTTTGGTTACTTAACGTCCAGTGACAAATATTTCATGCATGTTATTGACGAGAATTAACAATACATACAATAGGTAGGTCCTGTAACAGAGGTCATCCTGGTTGATTCGGACTGCCACGGGAAAATGAGGATATCTTGGATAGGGACAGACATTTTGCCTTGCAACAGGCCATATACTGACCCCGCAAATCGTTGTTGCAAAGGTTCTTAACGTTTAAAGAGCGTGGCAATCTCTTTACACGAGGCATTTAACGTCCCCATTCTGATCGGACGTGACTGCAAACTTGTTACTTCCGCAAAGTCACACGGACGTCCCGTTTTGGCGAGGGTTTTACTGCTGGTCCATATTTATATTCCCCAATCACCCTTTTTGAGGAAGGGGGTTGTGAGTTGTAAAGAAAACAAACATCCGAATTTAATCGGTCAAAATAATTAAAGTAGAAAAACATCGGAGATGTTGGCTAGTAGAGCGGGTTTAAATTGTCTTACTTTACAGTACTTGCATTTTAAAGGTATTCTTAATTTGTTCTCGTCTTGAACATGAACGAAACATTTGCCAATGAAGGTAAAGCAAACAACAGTTAATCGATCTTTAATGAGCTTACAATTCAGAAAACATGTGTCTCTGCGGATTGTGGTGGCCGATGTTTAGTTTCATTGAAAAATATTTTAAAAAATATTCTTCATGAATTAAACTATGTTTTTGTTTTGTTTTTTTTTTATAATAGGAGGAAAATGAATATTATATTTATGTACATCTTAGTACATGATGTATTTTGGTTTGACAAACATCTGGTATGTAGCAAGTTTTGCAAGAAAGCCCCCTACTAACCGCACAAATCTCTTCGTTTAAGAAGCAAGGTTTCGCCTCAAGAGGCTTCGCGTATTTCTGTGGGATGTCAACATGCGCATTTACGTCAGATCAGAATTGAGAAGTTGAATATTATGTATGGTAATGACACGGTTTCTGCAGCTTCTAATTACAACATTTGTGGAGTTGCCTATTCGAAGCAAAATTGTTGACCATATATGAGGCTGTCAAGATTCAGAATACTCTTTATTTTCATACCAGTCGAAGACTTGAATGTAATATCACTGATATACCTAAACAACAGGGATGAATGGGTCATATAAATATTGTCCCTGGTATCCCGATCGGCAGTAACATCTTTATCAAAGTGGGGCGTCTGTTTGGTTGTGTGGGATGTTTAACTACGCAATCCCGTCCAATGTCATGTTCTCTGCTCGTTAAAGAACCATTGGAACACCTCATTGGAGGATCAAGAGTTAGCATGTTGCAAGGTTAAATGTCGACCCTCTATTCAGCATACCCTCATTTCCATTGACAGTCCAAATTTCTTCGACTCGGGAGGCCTTACTGACAGAACCTACATATTGCATTAATTGTTGATAGTGTATCTTCCTGAATATGCATGAAATATTTTCCCCTGAACGTTAAGCAATTAAAACTCGAGCAATCAATCAATATTATAATACCTTTCCCTACCATACATGCCGTTTTGATTTTTTTTACTTTTTGATTCCGGTAATCAGCGACCAATGAATCATATATTTGACCCACCAAGACATTCCAAGGGTTATGTAAGTTAATCGTCATTTTGCGAAAAACTTCGTTAACTATTAAATTAACTTCAATTTTCTATTGGTACACGTGTTTATCTCTATTCTGAACTTAGAGAAAAATAATAAAAATTTCGTTTGATTGCAAATGAAACAACTCTCTTTCAGAAACCAAATGACATAGAAATAAACAGCTACCGGTCACCGTTCTGCCTTCAACAGGGGGTAAAACCCATACGACATCAAAGAAACATGTATGAAAGATCAGTTTAAGTAAAGCGTCAGTTTAGCTGTACAGGATGTACAAGTACACAGCCACATCCGGTCAGAATAGGAACGTTTAATCCGATGCCTCGTGTAGAGAGTGCCACGCTCTCTTCACGTGTAAAACCCTTGCAATAACTCTTTAAGGGGTCCTGTTGCAAGGCAAAATTTTGTCCCTGTGTAATAAACCCTCATTGCACAATGGCAGTCTAAATTTCTCCCCGACCTTCATCCCGGACGTCTTTTATTACAGGACCTTGCTATTGTTTTCATTGATATATTGATCTCGTCCTGAACATACATGAAATATTTGCCACTGAACGTTAAACAGCTAATAAACAATCAATCAAATTAGGCTTTGCCCGAGTGAGTTGGAACCTTTTCTTCTTAAAAAAAATCATAATTGATCAAGGTGGAATTGAAACATTGCCGACTGAGCTCGGGGATTAAACAGATCACCCTGCAGCACTGGTATCAATCCAGTGCAGGTAAATGAAAATAACACTTTACCAATGTCTTGTCTCGGAAGTGTTTTTCTTGATTTTTATTAATCAGGAAATCTCAAACTGTAACATTGAGTTTAGTTTTGGCGTTACTTTTGATTCCTCTTCGTTTTATCAACCCTAAAACATTTTATTTAAATGTTATTGATATCCTGGGATGTAAAGATATGTTGAAACGTTAGGGGATTTATCACCAAAAGACCATAAAAAGACCAAATTCATCTACATCTACATCAGTAATTTCATCTTTGCTTCAGGTAGTGGGAAGCTTCATTTTGTTAGTAATTTCTTAATTCATCATAAATCATGAGATTTGAAACGTTTATACATATATATCCCTAAATTCACATCTGTATTATTTCAACCGCTTCAAGGAGAATGTTACGATTGATCGATTGTTGGTTGCTAACGTCCAGTATCAAATATTTCATGCTTGTTCAGGACGAGGACAAAATAACAGTAAATACAATATACAGGTGCTGTAATAGAGGACATCCGGGATGAAGGTTGTGAAAATTTAGACTGCCACTGCAAATTGAGGGTTAGTTGGATAGGGCAGACATTTTTCCTTGTAAGAGGCCACCTATAGACTCATCAAAGAATTGTTATTAGGGTTCTCTTAACGTGGAAAAAGCGTGGCACTCTCTTTACACGAGAAATTGGATTTAACGTGACGTGGCTGCGTACTTGTACATCCTACTCAGCCAAACGGTCGCCCCAGTGTGCCAAGGGTTTTCCTGCCGGTCGGGAAAAGACCTGTAGTGGCCATATTTCTATTCCCCTGTCACCTTGGGGATGAAATTGTATGATAAGGCCACTTTACCACCTTTAATTCCTACTTATAACAATCATCAGATGTTCAAATGGACATCAGTATTTGCTTTTTGAAAAGGTGTCATTTATATTTGCATTACGAGTCTAAAACTTTTTACATGTAAAAAAAACTACAATAAATACCCTACTCTTGATCTTGTCGTTAATAAATTGATATGAGAAACAGTAGAACGACATGTTGCAACTAATTGTATTTTACAAAGATGTTATGTTTGTATAACATCTTTCTTAGTAAAGCTGTTATTCATATGTATAAATATATATTGACGAAAATCTGTGTGAAATGAGCATATCAGGTCAAATATGTTAAGTGTAGTTCCCGAGGGAATCATGAGCTCAGTAATCAGTACTTCGGTACTGACATGATTTATATCAAATTATCTAGAATTGACAGTTTATAAATCTTAAAATTATACAGAAACTAAGGATTCAACCCCCTCAGGCAAAGTTGGCCTTAGGATGGATTTGGCTATTTTTAGGTCCTTTTTGGTTAAAAGCTCTTCAACGTGTTCGGTCCTTATACATCCTTGGCTTTGAAATATTCGACTATGAGCGTTACTGATGAAGTTAAATCCAGAAAAGCGCTTCGGACCTATAGCTGGGGGAAAGCTATATTTATGAATACAACATTAATTTGAAAAACTTTTAAAAAACTATGTTTTATTCTTCTGAATTAAGAAACGTCTCCTTTCTTTGTTGTTCCCTTTGCATAAAGAGGAATATTCTAAGGACAGGACTGAAGAGTTATATCGCCATTAATATATGATCTAGAAAAAATGAAACCGGTTAAAAGATAAATATACGAAAGGAAAATATGTAAACAATGATATTACTTGGATTATGGTCATCCTGCTTGGTACTTATGTTCGCTCTGTCAGGAATCCGTGTCACCTGAAAAAAAAAAAAAAAAAAAAATTAAAATAAACTGAAAAAAAGAAATAATAATTTAAAAAAAAACCTACATAATTACAATGTAGATAAACCTTTCATAATGTTCTACTGATTATAAAAAAAGTATGATTATTGAAATACGTAACCTATTAGAAGGTTATGCGAAATTTAACCTGTAAGATATTTTTAAAGAATTACATATAAACTAGTTTCAGATATAGTACTTGCAATTGCAACCTTATGCGTTACCGTTTCAGTGATAGTCAGTAGTCGTCAATCCGTCACCGATCAATCAATCAATCAAGTTCACATCACCAATCCATTTAAATTATAAGGAGAATACTGATTGATCGGTGTTAGGGGTTAAACTCAGATTATTACAACAGCTGGGGGACTTTTTGACCACGAGGTTAGCATTAGCCCAGTAGCCAGTACCTTGGTATTTGCATGAAAACCACGAATATTATTTTGATTTAAATTGTTGTTATTAAATTTCGAAATCATCTTAAAGCAAGGAATGTATCTCCTTCGTGTATAGCTATGATTCCTTGTCCAGGTTTGGCTTCATTTTGGTCATTTTGGTTTAGTCCCCACTTCGTCGTTTTGATAGGATTTTGTATTTTCAAATTGTTTGGCCTCGAGCATCGGTGAACAAACGTGTATGTCGAAATGCGCTCCTAGTGCAGTAAAATTAATACCGTTAATGTTGTTGTTATTATAACCACTGGATCTTTACTTCTGCTGGAGGACCTTTCGTATCCGAGGGTATCTTTTGCCCAGTACTGGCATGGAAATACAGATATTTTTTTATTGGAATTTTTGTTAAACAATTTTAAATCATTTTGTATTAAAGAAAAGAATGTTTTATCCTCATGCATAGCTCCTTATCCGAGTTTAGATGTACGTTTCGGTCTTTTTGGTTTTATCAGCTGTTACACGTTTGTATTCGGTTTTTGAATCTCAAGTATATATTGGTCTCGATCATCATTGATTGTCGAAATGCAGATCTGGTAGAGTTAAATTGGTACCGTTAATGTTAATTTGATTACTACTACTGGATTGATACATCTAATGGACTTTTAGTCCCCAAGGATATCTTGAATCCACTTGCCTGTACTTCAGACTGACTGATCGGTCTTCACGGATTGCACTCGATTTATTACTACCACCAGCTCGATACATATAACTGTGCGACTTTTTAGCCACGATCGATATATCTCCTAATGGTTTCTAAGTATACGAGGGTATAATTAGCCAAGTAACCAATACTTCGATGCTTGCAAGAAGTGATGGATATTGTTATATTACAATGGCTGTTAAAAAAATTCGGAATCGTGCATAGTTTTGGTTCCTTGTACAAGGAATGTATCTCCCTTATGCATAGTTCTAGTTTTGTTTCCTTGTACAAGGAATGTATCTCCCTCATACATAGTTCTAGTTTTGGTTCCTTGTACAAGGAATGTATCTCCCTCATACATAGTTCTAGTTTCGGTTCCTTGTACAAGAAATGTATCTCCCTTATGCATAGTTCTAGTTTTGGTTCCTTGTACAAGGAATGTATCTCCCTTATGCATAGTTCTGGTTCCTTTTACAAAGAATGTATCTCCCTCATGCATAGTTTTGGTTCCTTGTACAAAGAATGTATCTCCCTTATGCGTAGCTCTGAATCCTTGTACAAGGAATGTATCTCCCTTATGCATAGTTCTAGTTTTGGTTCCTTGTACCAGGAATGTATCTCCCTTATGCATAGTTCTAGTTTTGGTTCCTTGTACAAAGAATGTATCTCCCTTAAGCATAGTTCTATTTCATTGTCCGGATTCGGCTTTACTTTTTGGTCCTTTTAAGATTATCAGCTCTTCAACGTTTGTATTATGTTCAGCATTACTGAGGAGACGCTAATTGTCGAAATGCGCATCTGGTGCTGTAAAATTGGTATGTTTAATGTGAACGTTCCTCATACGTCATCGTTGAGCTTTTGCACATAAAAAGGTACATTTAGAGTGCCCAAGAAGAAGTCGCGCCAATAACAAGTCTGTAGAAGACTCATTTCCATCATTGCTTTACTCGATTACTATAGTTTAAGCTTATTTATATTTTCATAACCACGCAATACAATACAAACTTAACTGTTGTCAACGAGAGTCGAACAGTACCAAAGTGATATTCAACTCATGTAAAATCGAAAAGAAACTGACAATGCCATGGCAAAAAACGACAAAAAGACAAACAAGAGTACAAAAAACACAACATAAAAAACTATGGACGGAGTAACACAGACCAAACATAAAAACTTGAAGTTGTTCTCGCTCTGGAAGGATAATATGTAATTAAAATCCGTTTTGGACAACCGCTTGAAATAATCGTAATTTTAATAATTGGACTAATATCAGCAGACAAATAACGTGCATATATACACTTCTAATTATTGGACCCTCCAATCAATAGACCATAAATGCTTAAAAGGCATTGTCATCAATAATAACATGAGAAAATATGATAAGATATTGTTGCCCCTTACAACAAATGTAATAAAAATGTACAGGATGTTCCGACAGATTGTTAACGTTGTCTCGGCAACCATTCAGCCTTTAGTTCACCTTAGGAATACACGTTATATTTGTAAGATTTTCTTACTTAAAGTGAATTATCAACTTTTTAATGATTCTACATGTGTCGTAAATAATGTTTGATTTTTGCATTTAACGCAATTAGCGGTCTCTAAAATCTGCACAGTAGTATGGAAACTATATCAACTGTGAAAATTGACGATGAGCACAGAAACGACATACACATATAAATATTTACTTCCAGAGCATCTGCAATCACCCCTGGATTTTGGTGGGGTTTGTGTTGCTCCGTTTTTAGTTTTCTATGTTGAGTTTTGTATACTGTTTATCTCTTGGTTTTTTTTTGCCATATCTTTTTAAGTATGTCATTGACATGTGAGTTTGTTATAATCATACTTTTAATTTAGCATATGGAAAGCTTTACACTTGAAAAGGTTTACAAAACATTTGCGTAAATTAAGGATGCCGTGCAACTTTTCGTAAATAAACGGTATGTGTATCAAGTTACGTGCAAAACCCATTTACATGATGGATAAAAATATGTAGATTGTAATGTTTTGTTCGCAGAATGATAAGTTTCTATTTAACGTCCAGCAACAAGTATTACACATACATGGTAACAGAAATAAATTTAAAGTCAGTTAACATACAGTTCATTATGCTACCATTGTTACCGTCTTTTTAAAAATTTTCCCATTTTTGTGTCGAGGAGAAGTGATTATGCATTCACTGCAAAGTCATCAGATCCAAAATGAATAATTTGTATCTGAATTTTTATGAATTTTGTGTTAACATTCTGAAAAAAAAAAATTCTAAACAGTAAAGATTAAAAATTTACAAAGACACTATAGCGCGTAATCAAGAAGATTAACAACGCCAGTACCTAGAATCTATACTTCAAGACCATCATGTATTTTTTGTGAAGTTAAGTTGACGCCGTATTTAATTTTTCATCGGAAACAATATTTTTTCATCTTCCATTTGAAAAAAAAAGTTTTTATTTTCAAAACATCTGATATACTCTGATGTGCACATGTCACAAAATATGACAATGTATATTTGATATATAGATATAAGAAGATGTGGGATGAGTGCCAATGAGAAAAATAAACCATTTTAGGTCAAAGTACGGCCTTCAACACAGAGCCTTGGCTTACACCAAACAGGACGCTATAACGGGCCCCAAAATGACAAGTATAAATCAATTCAAACAGGAAAACCAACTGTCTAATCTATATACAAAAATACACGTTACGAAATATGAAAATGCATGTTTCATATGCACATGCCACAAATATAAAAATGGATAATATGTTGCCACATCACCATCCTCCCTATTATCATAACAATTATCATTAACATTATTGTTACCATTATTATTATCATCACCATTTTCAATAAAATTAGCATTACAATTACCATTTGATACAGACAATGCTAATAAGGTTTTGCTAATTTGGCTTGCCATCTTAAAATTAACTCTTAAAAGTTCCCGGGAGAGAAAGAGAGAGGGGTGTACTACAGCAAACATTCAGACAGTTGATAATATACGTATCCAGACAGAGTTAAGACTGTTTACAATGTGTTTAGACAATATCAGACAGAGTTAAGACTGTTTAGAATGTGTCCAGACAATATCAGACTGAGTTAAGACTGTTTAGAACGTGTCCAGACAATATCAGACTAAGTATAGACTGTTGGGGAATCCAAATGATAATCTAAGCAATTTTTAAAGATGTCATTTTAAAAACATACCTCATTATTCATCCAAGGCGAATATATCTGGTCAGATCGATGCATTTGCTTATGTTGAGTACAGAAACACTCCTTCTCACTTGTCAATTTCTCATATTCAAATGTGTCTTGAAAATAGTAGCCATCACTGCATTTGAAATGGAGTTTAAACGATATTTTCACCTTATATCTCTCTTTTATATCTTCAATTAGTTGTTTCACTTCTCTGTAGATATCACTGCACGTGCTTCCGAATCCCTCCTCTTCGGAAAACGACACGAGCTGAAGAGCAATTGTATCAGTCGACATAGTAACTAGTATCTTTGTACCACCAGATCCATCAATGTCAAACATACAGATGCCACGATATAAAGCAATACCACCCTCTACTTTGCTAGAGTAGTAGTTTCTGATAAACCAGGCAGATAGATGGTTAAAGAAAGAAGGTGGGAGAAATTCAAATTTAAAACAAAGCCAAGAAGTCCTTTTACATTTTTGTGTAAGAATGTCAAATTTTTCACATACAACATCAAACGTGGAGGGCGGCATCATGCTTGGCATTATATAATTTGAGTTACCAATTTTGACCAATATATCAAGCTTTTCCATAACTGCATGCAAATTATTTGTCTGTTCTGAAAACTGACTTCCATCTTTTGATTTGAACAGTTCTGTTATTAACGATTCGCTTATTTTGCCTTGTCGTATAAACAGTGTCCAGTCCTCATGGTGATGCAATCTTCTGTTTTCAACTCTATCTGAAACTAAACATCGGAAAGCATCTGCTAACCATTGGGGTCTTAATATGATTAAATCCGGTATATTAGCAAAGAAAATGATGTTCCCTACGTTATGCTGAAATCGAAGAAACAACAACAAATCCTCCTTTTCTAGAATATTGATATCAGGATGTTTAGCCAGATTTGACATATCAGTAAAGTTGATGAAATGCTTGTTATCGTTCTTATTAATTTCAATCAAATGTTCTAAAAGAATCCATTTTAACGGAAAAGCATTACCCCAATTTCCCATTTTCCGTGCAGTATCGTAAATTGCGTATTGCAACTTCTCAAATTCTGTGTCACTGTCATTTGTATTTGACAGATAAAACTTGTTGTGCAAGTGATGATATTTGCTTTGAAATCCAAGAACTTGGTCTATTTGATCATTGAGTTCCTTTTCTCTCTTCTTAAAATCTGCCTACAGAAAATAGATAAAAGAATCAGCAATTGTCATGATTGATACTATATCAACAATTATTGAGAAGATTTAAATAGATTATGAACCCAAATATATATAATTTTCATTACAACGTATCACTACCTTTCATGGCAATTATAAAGACAATTTATGGGCCTTCTATATCTTACTATACTGCATGGGTATTTATCGTTGTTAAAGGCCGTATCAAAACCCCTTTTATTCATATTGTGTTGCTTTGTACAAATGGATAGTTTTCCCTTTAAAAATCATACCATATTTTCTTATAAAACCCACAATATTTGACTGGGGCATACATTTATAGTAATACCGTTGTCTTCTACCGACTGGCAGTAAACCATTTGCCAAAGTGGGACGTTCGTTTGGCTTAGCAGGTTGTATCAAACGGCGTCCAGTCAGAACGGGGTCGTGCAGTTCGATGAGTCATGTAGAGAGCACAGAGGTCTCTGCACATTACGAACACTTGCATCAACTCTTTTTAGGGCCCATACAATAGCCTGTTACCAGGCTAAATTTCTGTTTCAATCTTCATAACCCCACTTCGCAGTGGCTTTGAAATTTTTAAAACCATCAAATCGGTTGACACCGTATTTGATGACTTACCTGTTTTATTGTTATTTGTTCTAGTTCTGAACCTGCATGAAATATTTGAAACTGGGCGTCAAATAAACAACAACGAATTAATCCCTTATAAACAAAGAATATGCATATTTCTAAATCATTTTTTTTGGGCAATCTCATTCAAGTCATGTCATCTTCTCTCCATTAGACGTCCTTTTAGGGTATTGGAATCTTAAATTTAATTTCAATTGAAACCAATAACATGTAAGAAAAAAAATGGCACATTGTTGAACCTTTATCCTTGTCTTGATATACATGCCATATTTTCCACTGGACCATGAATACCAATTCATCATTCCTAACATGTTAAACATAAACACATCACCTGAAATTAACGTTGTAAATTTCCAACAGGGAAAACTGTTAACCCTTAAAAGAACAAAATTGAGATGCGTTACGCATTCCTCAAGATAGGTTTGTTTTTTTTGTAAAAAAAGTATTAACTTTGTTATGCCTAAGACAAAAAAACTCATATAGATTTTACTTTTTATTAAACTCTTTAATGGGTCCTTATGTAGCCTGTAGCGAGGCAAAATGCATGTTCCTGTCCAACAAACCAATGTTTTTCAGTCCTAAGTCCCCAAGCTAAATCCCTTTTGTCTCATATAGCAAAACATATATATTTGTACTTTATTTATTGTTTTGTTTGTGAATATGCATGAAATAAATGTCACTTGACGTTAATCTGGCAACGATTATTTCAACGGATTTTTGTTTGTTCATAATTTGTTGTGTTAAGCTATTGTCCAAGGTTTGTGTTAAATTGAGCGCCCATAAGCACGTTTAAGATCAAACATGCTTAATGTGCCTGTTAAAAGGAAGGAGTCCAGTTGTTGTTTATAATTATCGTTTCAGTTAACCCCCAAGGGTGACTGGGGAATAGAAGTATGGTCATCATTGGTCTTCCTCCGACCGGCAGTAAAACCCGTGCTAAAGTGGGGCGTCCGTTTGGCTGTGCGGGATGTACAAATTTGCAGCCACGTCCGGTCAGAATGGGGACGTTAAATCCGATGCCTCGTGCTAAGAGAGTGCCACGCTCTTTGCACGTTAAGAACCCTTGCAAAAACTCTTTGAGGGGTCCGTAGGTGACCTGTTGCAAGGCTAAATTTCTGCCCCTATCCAATATACCCTCATTTCCCGTGGCAGTCTAAATTTCTCCGACCATAATCCCTTAATCTATTACAGAACCTACCTATTGTATTTATTGTGAACTTGTTCTCGTCCTGAATATGCATGAAATATTTGCCACTGGACGTTAAGCAACCAACAATCAATCAATCAATCGTTTCAGTTATTGTTGTGTTATAACTAATGTATAGGTAACCATTTCTAGTAGGTTTTGCTAACAATAATTTTTGATCTTCTATAGATGGACGTCTCATTAGCAAATATTTCTTTGATGACATTCCGATCAAGAACGGATGATACTAAGTGAAACCATGTACATGACTGGTATGGAAGTGAGGAACAGCGTTCTACAATTGTATTACCTTGTCATATTTATCCTTTCCAGTGAAAACTAATAAAATCGGAGGATCGAAGTGGCCATACCTAGCTGGTTTGTCGGTTGTTCGATGACAATGGATAGAATCAAACCAAAAATCAACATATTCTGAAATATATCAACAGTGTTTAATAAATAATGTTTTGAGACCAAATAGGATACTTTGAATATATGTACCCTAACACTGACTGTCTTAACACTAAGCTTTTGATTTTGACATTTGAGAAGGAACTTCCCGTTTTATTTATTTTTTTTTTATTTTACTTTCTATTACTTGTTGACATGATCACAACATTAGGACATAATTAAGGTAACTTGTATTTCAGATATTGAAACACTTTAATAAAACATGTTTTTGTTTTATTATAAGACCCAACTGGATGAAACTTTATGAAAATGTTACTTGGTATGCCTAGATGGACAGACAATATTTAGAAATTCCAAAATTGCTGCCATAATCATGGAAACAGGGCGAAAGATTAACATTGACCCTAAGGGAATATACATTAAAGCAGCAGTTTCTTCAAAGAATATTACAAACAAAACTATATGGTTATGTAACCTGTCATGTGCCAATGTGGTATCTGTCTTTGGAATTTTTAAAATGGTCACCGTGACCATTGAAACAGCAAAACTATAAAAAATTTCAAAATGCTCCAAACTTCATGAAACTTTACAACAATTTTAATTGGCATGTGTAGATGCGCTGTTTGACTTTGGAATTTTCAAAATTGCTGCCGTTACCCTGGCAATAGGGGAACGGTGCCATCCGTTATTGCTCTCAATTACAAATCTAGTTCCATTTGAATTTCTTACATGAAAACATACCTCCAATATGCTGAAAATCGGTAAAACACTGACCCAATCCTTGTTTACTTATGTCGTCCTTCATATCTGCAACTACAAGGTATACTGCACTACTTGTTAAAAATGCTTGATGTGTAGCATAAAATTCTTTTTGTCCTGCAAAGTCCCATAATTCACATAATGCATAAAGGTTTGAAGGAGAATTAACAGTTGACTTGGAAAACATATTTGACATCAAATCCTCAGGCATTACCAATGATGAAGACTTATTCGTTTCTTTATTGTTATCCAGATTAATCTTTGCGTCGCTAGTGATATCCTCAGGCATTACCAAAGATGAAGACTGGTTCGTATCTCCTTTTTTATCCAGATTAACTTTTGATTTTGCTTTGAAATTCTCAAGCATTACCAATAATTCAGACTCATTTGTATTATCACTTTTATCCCGAATAACCATTATGTCGGTTGTGGTGTCTTTTTTATAGGTAGATATATCATCACCATGACTTATATTTATATTCTTTCTCTCATCTACCTCAATATTTTCAGTGTTTCTGTCCTCGGCATTTGGAATCAGTGCTCTCTTAATCCGGCTCACTTTATCATCGGCAATTTCTGGCAGGAAAAAAAAATAGAAAAAAAAACAATACTACCTTGTACAACAAGTTACAAGGCTATCTATTGGCAGTAGTGGTAGTTTCCCATTCCATCCATACGGTGTTTTTAAACTTTATTGTATTGGTCCATTAGAATAGTTCAATGCAGTTTTTATTACAGTTTAGGCGAATAGAAACATTACTTGAAATGAAAATGTTGTGCTTTGACGTTTCCCTACTTAAATGGTTGAAATATCCCAAGTGAAAAAAATGAAAACAACACTTTTTATAAATTATAGTTCGTCCGAAGCGCTTTTCTGGATTTACCTTCACCAGGAACGCTCAACGCCATATATTTGAAAGCCAAAGATGTATAACAACCGAATAAGTTAAAGAGCTATATGAAAAAAGTAAAATTACAAAAATACCGAACTCCGAGGAAATTTAAAACGGAAAGTCCGTAATCACCAGAAGTACTTAAAATAGTCAAGTCATATGTCACTTTACCTGAGGGAGTTGAAACCTCAGTTTCTTTATAATTTCTAAATTTATAAACGGACAATTTTAGAAATGTTATAAATCATTTCAGTACAGAAGTACTGACTACTGAGCTGATGAATCCTCTCGGGTTAATAGTCAACCAGCAGAGGTATCGACACAGTGCTAATAAAAATGAAAACAACTCGTTATAAAATTAATGCTTCCATAACGCAAACTCGGGTATAGAAATATGTCCAGCTTGTCACTTAAAACTTCTCTTAGAAAGGCGTTCGTTCTACTGTACAGAGTGTATAAGTTCGTAGCCATGTGTGACAAGAAGGGGACATTTAATAACATAAACGGTACCAATTTTTCTGCACAAGTTGCGCATTTCGACAATTATTGTCTCTTCAGTGATTCTCGAGGCCAAAATATTTGAAAATAAACAGCTTATTAAAAAAGTTAAAGAGCTATAAACCAAAAATAAACACCAAAAAAAGTATAGCCAAAGCCGGGATATGATTCAGAGCTTTGCATGAGGGAGATACATTCCTTAATTTTAAATAATTTCCAAAATTTTGTAACAGCAAATTTTAATTACAAAAAAGCCGTAAAACTGGGCTGGTGATACCCTCGGGGACTATCAGTCCATTAGTTAATCTGATGTATCGTGCTGAGAGGGTACACGATTCACTATATAACACTTGCTCCAGCTCAGTGGCATTACATTGCTGTTACTATCCATCATAGCATTGTTTTCCAGTGGCAGTCCATTCCCTCGCCCTTCATGCCAGAAGTCTCACCATGCCTAATATTCATATTGTATTAATTGGTAATAGTTCTTTTTTCAAATATGCATAAAATAATTGCAACTTGACGCCAAGCAAGCAACAAAAAACTCGATTAACGAACAGTTGAAATGCTTTACATTTTATATGTCTATATTTTTATCATTAGACATCATGAGGCCATAGTATTGGGATACCTATAACATGTATAAAGTGTTTGAAAGATAATGGTTATAAACAAATGTGAAAAGGTGCAGTACAGGGTCAGTCTAACACCCCTCTTAAAATGCCAACAGGATCTGATTGGATAATTTTCAGGGATCCATAACGCAGTGAAACTGTAGGATTTTTGACACGTAATTGCAGTGTACTTAAGCTTAAAATCATTGAAGAAGATTCATTGAAAAAATCTGACAAACAAATTATGCGAGGAAACTGATTTCGATAGTTCAAGATGAGTCCGTGCCCCTTTAAAATATAATGTAAACCTGCCACTAGACGAAACGTGCGTGAAGCGTATCAAATTATAAGCCTGGTACCTTTGATAACTATTTTCACCACTGGGTCGATGCCACTGCTGGTGGACGTTTCGTCCCCGAGGGTATCACCAGGATGCCGAGATCGTTGTCATTTGTAATTTAAGATAATACTTTTAAGGGCATGCGATACAGTTACAGGGGAGGTAACGGCGTTGCTGACGTAAATTTGTTTTGCCTCTTCTCTATTAGCAATTGACAGTTCACTAATTTTATTCAAAACAGACGTAAATAACCACGAGTATTCTTTGTGATATATCGCAATGTTTATACGTACGAATTAATTTTGAAGTTTGATAAGTTGTCTCTAAATATTTCGGATTAACCATTAAAGGCTATACTTAAAACAATCTTCACTTGAAATAGACTTTTATTTTGTGTTTTAAGTATATATAAAACAGGTGTATTCAATTGTGGATTTTTTTCTGTAAACTGATAATCATTATGAATCACCAGTGAGTATGCATTTCATACTCCTGTATATGAAGTCCGTATTATTTTGTGTTTTAAGTATATATAAAACAGGTGTATTCAATTGTGGATTTTTTCCTGAAAATTGATAATCATTATACGGACTTTGATAATCACTATACGGACTTCTTATACAGGAGTGTGCTCCAACAAAGTTATGAGGAGGACAGATTAAAAATGACACTCCGTAAATTTTACGGACACCATCACGAATTGGTTAGTCCATACGATGTGTCTTTGTTCAAACTAACTAAGGACATTTTTAACACGTGTTAGATTGTGGTTTGTCATTACGTCGTCTGATCTTTTAATTACCGAACGTGACTTATTCCCGATTGTGACTGTTTTGCTGAGTGTGAAACCGCATTGCTATAAGACGTGTCACGGTACCTTTCTATCCCAAATTCATGTATTTAATTTTTATGTTATATTTGTTATTCTTGTCGGATTTTGTCAAATGTCTTAAAGTCTTTACTGTTATATTCGTGTGTTATGGTAAAGATAATTAATCACCCCCTTCATTTATTAGCTTTTAGTTTGGTTCAACGAAATTATTCTAAATAATAAGGATGTTCTTATCCCAGGCAGAAAACCCTGGCCGTGTTAGGCGCAACTTTTTGGAAGTTTTGGTCCTCGGTGCTCTTCGGCTTTGTACTTGTTTTGGCTTTCAAGCTTTTTTCATCTGAGCTTCACTGGATGGTCTTGTGTGGACGAGACGCACGTCTGGCGTATTGAATTTTAAGCCTAGTACCTTTTGTTTGCTATTATTTGTGTGTTTCTTTTTCCTATATGTTCTCCCATTTATTTGTATTGTGGTCCTGTCATGTGATGTTGTCGTTTTGGTGTTGTGTTTGACGTTGCCATTAAAGCGGGAGGTTTGGCATGCCACAAAACCAGGTTCAACCCACCATTTTTTTCTTAAAATGTCCTGTACCAAGTCAGGAAAATGGCCATTGTTATATTATAGTTCGTTTTTGTGCGTGTTACATTTTTAATGTTGTGTTTTTGTTGTGTCGTTGTTCTCCTCTTATATTTGATGCGTTTCCCTTAGTTTTAGTTTGTAACCCGGATTTGTTTTTGTCTCTATCGATTTATGAGTTTCGAACAGCGGTATACTACTGTTGCCTTTATTTACCTTTGCCGATTATCCATTTTCCATCTCTTATGTTGATTTTGCATCTACAAACAACAATATCAACACCATCTGTACTCGATACACCAGATATGTCTTCCTTCAATAATCTCCTCAAGAGACACGTTTTTCCTGTCGATTCCTTTCCGACAATCATAATTCTAACAAAATACCTGTTTTCTTTTTTTTCAGTTTGCATAAGCTCATTGTATCTGATTTTATCTTCCTCTGATAAATGGTTTATGGCTTCTGGAAAAACTGAAAAAGTATATATCTGTGACGTGATGTTTGAGAATAAATATAGAAAATGATATAGTCTTAGTAAAACAAAAAGGTGTTCATTAGCAATCGCAAAATATACACGAACAAACACGTTGAACAGAAAATAGACGTATCTTATTAGTTATTTTTCTCATTCTATCGTATATGAAGTAATCTATTAATTGATATAGAGCTAACTCTTGAAAATATACATAATCTATTTATAATAATTATTTTGGTTAGCTTATTTGAATGGAGATTTGTATGTTGTATTATAAACATGCGTTTTTTGATTAATACGAAACTATTATACTTTTCACTTTAAAACTAAAAATCTAAAAATCTAATTTACTATAGGGTAAATTATATATGCTCCAACCTCAATAGTTTTTTTTTTAAACTTTCAATAACCCAATAAAAGATTAGAATCACGTTTACTAAATAGGTTATGCTGTTATTTGTTGGTTTCGCATTGAAAACTAACAACAATGTGCCCCAACATGGCAACAGCAAAGACTACAGATAAACTATTTGACAAAACATCAAAACTTTAGAAAAATGAGACGGAAAAGCCGTATTTACTTCCAAATCTTTTTGGTTTGTTGATTAAATTGAATAAGTTACAGTATAACATGTACTATAACGTCATCAAATACAACATTTTGAAAGTTTGAGACACAAAATGCGCTAACAACAGTCGAAGCTATCAAAGGTACAAATTTCCTTCCAAGAAAGGCGGACATTTTGTATATCTAAAGAACAAGATGACAAATATATATCGTCAATATGGTTTCAGTCAAATTGTCAACTAAACGTCATCAGTGGCGCTCCAGAGGCCTCGGTGGCCAAGTGGTCTAAGAAGTTCTACTTCTGTAATCACTAGCCAGTCAACACTGAGGTTGTGAGTTCAAACCCCGCTCGTGCGGGTGCACTCGACTCCAATCTTAATTCACTAGGATTGTCAGTTTTCCTATCGAAGGTCGGTGGTATTCTCCGGGCACTCCGGCTTCCTCCACCCATAAAACTGACCGCCACGAAATACCCTAAAAGCGGCGTTAAAACACCAACAATCAATCAGTGGCGCTCAAATCCAAACAGTTGGGAAGTCAAATAAAACACAAATACTGTTAATTTAAAGAAGAATGAATTGTCAACACAAAAGTGCTTACTACTAGGCTGGTGATTTTGTGGGGAACTAAAAGTCAACCAGCAGCGACATCCAAACGGTTTTAAAAAAAGAAAACATCAAAGATTAATGATTTGGCACAAACGCGACCACTTCCACTTCCACTTCAAAATTACCTTTTCCAGACCTTCTCCTTTGTTCGTGTTCTTTAAAAAGAATCGTAAATCGAAAAAATGTATGCGCACGATTGTGTTGATAATAGAATTAATTTGCCAATTTAATAAATTATCATTATACCATAAATATAGATAAAAATGTTCTATTTACAATACCTTGACCAGAAATTAAAAATAAAATTACGGCATCTTGAAAAAATCAACTTCTTGTTTTATGGCATGTACTATCATTTCTTCAAGAAACTGACAAAATCAGTACGCATGCCCTCTATGTACGTTTTCATATTTTACGTACAGTATAATTATCTGTCTTTTGTGCATCAAAAACTATTAACATGTGTGGCTTTCTTTACTTACGCAAAGAACTAAATTAAAACAGACATAGAAACGTAAATTATAAACATGTGAGTATTACTTCGTATTAACAAAGAGCTAACAAAATATATAGAAAGGTAAGTAAACACATGTGTGTCTTACATCTTAGTTAAACAACGGGCTAAAACAGATATAGAAAAGTAAAGCATAAACAAGTCTGTCTGACTTCTTGTTTAAAAAAAATAACTTACATATCAGATATAGAAAAGGAGAGTATAAATATGTGTGGCTTACTTCTTATTAAAACAAGTAACTAAAAACAGATATAGATAACTATAGTGTAGACATGTGTGTCTTACTCTTTATTTAAACAGAGAGCTATAAATAAATATAGAAAAGTAAAGTATAAACGAATACATAGTTAAAGTGTATGCACTTACTATTAGGAAGTTTGATACATCTTCTCAATTGTCGCCGATTTGTCAGTAGAATAATACAAACAACGCCTGAAAAATATAAAGTTTCATGTTCAGAATAGATCTGTTATTGTATATAGAATAGACCTACATCAATGTTTGTAATTGTATATAGAATAGACCTACACCAATGTATCTTTATTTGAATTCAATATGAAATCGGTTGTGTCCTTATTACTTTATTCTGTTTCACATTCAATGTTTATTATATGTTTTCATAAGTATCCGGAACAAATCGCACTGGACCGATTGCTTACGTCACCATATTTATTGTACTACGCGACTGCCTTTAATTTCTGTGACACCGTCTGCTCCAGTATTTCAACACATGTTTCATGGACGATATTTAATCTTCTGAGGAAATCGAGACATACCACTGTCAAGTACGTTTGATTCATTCATAAACTGTGATAATGAAATATGTTTAACTCCGTTAATTTGTATAAGTGATTTGATAAATGCATACGAACTGTAAGTTGTTTATATCTGATATTTGAACTGTAAATTCCACTTTCGTTTTCATTTGATTGTTTTATATAATATTTGCATTTAAACTTTTAATATGTTCAATTCATACACATTGTAAGTAATGGTTTTTGTTTTATTGCAGTTTTACCAATACACTGACTACTGTAACCTTTTTGGTTGAATATCATAATTACAATTTTCCAAACAAGTTGTTTTCTTTATATATTCGCCGAGATTGCGACTTGGTTGTACCTACTAGTCCGGCCAGTACAACTTTCAATCAAAGAAGTATATTTACTTTTGTTGATTAATTCGTGCGTCATTTTTTGACCTCTGAACATTACCTTTATGAAGAATCTCTTACAAAAACCATGTTAATAAACAACAGACAAATAGGACACGGAGATCGTTATTAAAGGTTAATTTAATCTGTTAACAATGTTCTCGTTTTTTACTACATATTTAAACATCCATCTCTAAAAAAGATATGTTGGCAAACACAAAGATTGAGTTTATTGAAGTTATTTCAAATTATTAATGACATAAATCACATTAGAAATCGTTGTTTATTTGATATGCAAAACCAAAATTACTGGAAGTGATGTGAGAGTGTTTGCTCCGTCTAAAAGCCTCGTTGTGACTTGGAGATGGAGAACTGCAATACAAGTGCTGTTCCATCACTGTTTGTATTGTTTGCTATGCGTTTACTGATTTTGTGTCTTGGATGGATACCCATATCCTTTTTTTTTCTATTATGTAATTTGAACTACAAAAAAAAACCGCTTTTTTGATACTTAGTGAATAAAATTGTAACACTCACGGAAGAATAGTGTAAAATTCCTAGAACACTTATAACGTCGTAATTGATGAGTGTTAACAGATATCGGAAATTATTGTAATTTTTTTTTTTTTTTTGTAATGTGTTTATTGGCAAAAGCTATATATATAAATCTTCATAGTAAGTAAGTCCATAGTACATCAGCAAAATTGAGACAGGTACATATAGTTGATATTTTGAATCATTTGACAAACTTAAAAATAATAATAATGGTAAAAAAAAAGAAACCTAACATGGGTAGCATGGATTGGGTAGATATATTTATTACGTAAAAGTTTACTTGTATATTCATTCTATTAGTTGGAGCCAGAGGTTCCAGCAGGAGTACGCTCTTTGCAATGGTTTATTTTTATAAAATATTATTTTTTCAATAAACAAGTTTTCTTTAAGATAATTTTTAAGGCTAAAATAATTACTTGTCCACATTGCATTTTTGTTTTGTATATATAATATTTAGTTAATAATATTATGAGGTTTCTTATGTAGTTTTTTTCTGTTTTTTTCTAATATCCCAAATAAGACTATATCTAAATTAAGTGGTAGTTCAATTTGGACTTTTGAATATATCCATTTATTAAGTTCTTCATTGTAAAATTTAAAGCTTTGTACAATTGCATTATCCAATGCACAATCCTTGTATGGTGTGGACAATTTTAATAAATTTCTCGCAGACTCCTTACAAACACGTTGATAAAAAAAATTAAGACAGAAATAGAAAACTATTTTTCACGAATCCTCCTTTAATTAAAATGTTCATATATTTTATAGTACTTACAGGATGCTAATGACAATGTCAAAACACATTGAAATGCTTCGATGTGATAATTATCTGTAATTGGACAAAATAAAGCTGATGTAAGTTGTTTGTATTTAACAATATTTCCATTGTCGATTTTTAATTAATGAATAGTTTTATTAACTTTTATATTAACTGATAGTTGAAATCATAAACTATTTTCAATTGAATATTTAATTTAACTGTCTCTGCAGTATATAAAAATAAGGAGATGTTGTATGATTGCAAATGAGACAACTATCCACCCAAGTTCAAATGAAGTGGATGTAAGCAATTATAGGCAACCGTGCTGCCTTCAACAATGCGAAAAATCCATAACTATGTTCGCTGATGAAAAGGGGCATTACAGATCTATACTTTGTTGTATCATAAATTTGGAAGCAAGTACCCTTCCAAAGCTTTCTGATTTTTTTTTTTTTTTTTTTTATATTTGTGTCTTATTTTCTTTATAATATATAGCCTGCAAAACATCAATTATATTGTTTTTAAACTACGTGTATAACTATTGATTGACCCTTCTTCTAACAGGTTTCAACTTACAATAGCTCAGGTTGTAGTTGTAGTTGTCAAATTCAATGATCTTAATTTTCCGTGATATATTAGACCTTTAAAAAAACATACACATGGTTATTGTCGAAGAGATTTGCACTCCGAAAAATATTGATAGAAATATATTAAAATTCAACTGTAACGAAGTGAATAACTCCCTATGAATTACACAGAAGTTAAATTATGTAGTTTTTGAAATTTCAGAAACTTGTCGTCTTGAGAATAACTGATGCACCTGTATTCATTTGGTATTGGTATACAAAATTATGTATATATATTCATTTTCGCATCTATTAGACTTACTTATTATATATGGATATATGTATATTAATTTATAGAAATAAATGAATATAACAAAGACATATTTAAGTGATAAACATACACTAACCTATCTCCTAAGTAACGACTTCCTGTCCTTTTCGTGTCATTGTAGCATTTCATATCTGAGAAATATAATTGAGAATTTTGGTTTTCTTATGAAATATTTGCACTCCTGTGAGTGGTGCACACATTTTTCCGTCAGTTGTAATGGTCGGTTGCAAATTAGTTTGCACAATCTCGATTACCAGCATATATGTTTAAATTCACTTAATTGATTTCATTGCACTATAACAGTATATTGCTATTTTTATTATTCAAGTTGTTAATTATTTTACATTTGTATGCAACGAGTATGTTTCTTAAGAGATAATTGTGTAAATGTTAATGAGGCATGAAACTTGTGATTATTATTCAATAGTAACAATCAGAGACATGCTTTTCCATCTTGTCCAAAATGACATACATTAAAATATGCGACAATGGTCATGACTAGAACGAATACATGAACAATGGAAATGTTGCGGGTTAAAAACGTCTCCAAAACTACCAGGCTTTAAATGTACACCGGACGCCCGTTTCGCTAAATACCACTTGCCAGTAGCACAGTTAAATGTTCATATCAAATTTAAAGTAAAAGAGCATATTTAAATGTCAAATTTCAAAAAGGTGTGCCAATTATGAGTAAGGGTATTTATGCCTAGAGGTTGAACACCATTAGTATTTCGAATTATTTAACATTTAATAAACAGTTAATTCACATGAAATGAATGTTACAATGATTATTGATAGCAAAACAAAAGTGCTGACTACTTGGCTGGAAAAAGCTTGGGTACTCAACGTCCACCTGCAGTGAAATTGATTCAATAGTTGCCAAGAAGGCATTACTCTATTAATAACCCTTATCTTGATCCATAAACCGGTTCGGATTAAAACAAAACAAGCTAAAATCCATGTAAACATGTTTTGTGAAAGTTAGGCTGAACATTTACCGACAAAAATTTAATCCAAAGAAAAGATATAAGAATTAACAAAATAAAACATCCAAATTTCATAATTTTTTAGATATAATATAAAGATGAAATAGTTCTTGTCTGTTGTAAAGAGTTTTTTTTATAAAACAAAATTAGGATAATGAAGTATAAGTCAATAGGCTGCTAACCTTTACCTTGTCGCTTTAATAAAAAAAAACCACATAAAACATCTTTTAAGCATCATCAATAGAAAGACAGCTCCATGGTTTTGTTAAATTACTTTAGTCTATAAATCTGGCAAAAAGAGAATTGTTCTTTACCGTTCAGTCCAATCGTGTTATTGTATGGATCAATTCTGAGATAGCAGGAGCAATCGTCAGTTGAAGGATTGCAGTAACATTGGTTTTTCGAGTTCATGACAAAAGTATATCCTCTATCGGTATTACAAATACATTTTCTGTCAACCGTAGTGTTGCCGTTTTCATACGTCTCCTGACCTAAACTGTTGCAAGGAGATTTTTGAAAGGTACAGTCACTGTACCCAATTGTATCAAAAATGAAAGGCTGGTATCGAGTTACACTACATGTTGCTCTGTTTAAGTTAGGCTGAAAGACGTATTTATAACCTGCAAATGTAAGTAGAGAAAGTGCTTAATATACATTCGAGTATTAATCAAGGTTTTACAGTTTAAGTTATATTCCAGTGAATTTGTTATTTCTTTATTCAAGTACATGTTTTTGACATTACTCTTTCACTACAAAGGTATAACACTTAAAATAAAATAAAATTCTAAATATTAACGGCAATTCCCTATTGAAGAAATTTCTTTTTAATCGTGTATCCAACATTTTTACAGTAATGCACAGTACATATAGAAAATTTTAGTAACATATATTGCTCGCCAGCGACCATGTGGGAAAACTCAAACCAAATAACTTTACATGCTACCATATAAAGGACAAACATAAGTTATTTATACAAAAACTTACCTGGACCCAAAATTCTAGGTCTGTGACATTTATCCCTGTATACATTTACTCTAAACGTTACGTCAAATAAGCAAATATAATTTCTCGGAGGCTTACACCTGGAGTTTGCCCGAATATTCCAGTGTGCCGGCGATGGACAGGTGAAGTTGTATGCTTCATTCAAGGATAACATCTACAAAATAGATAATTGAATATTCATCAATAATTTAAGCAAAGTTGATAACAATCTTGAGTGGTTTAGCTTCTTTCAAACTGTTTACTATATAACATTGGGTATTTGATATCGCTATCCGGTACAATATTCTTGACATTTCAAGAAAATTTACAGTTGTTGTCAACACAAAAGCATCTTTAAGAAGAGGTTTTATGTTTTCGGTGTAAAGTCTATACAAATCATAAAAAAAAAGTTCGTATCACAGATAAGTGATAAGTCAGGATGAATTGTATAAAATAAAGGACAGTAATATTTATACACAACGTCTTCAAAATTCAGTGTGCCAACATTTTCTCATTTTATTCAAATTCTGTACCCCCAAGGGTGACTGGGGAATAGAAGTATGGTCACCATTGGTCTTCCTCCGACCGGCAGTAAAACCCGTGCTAAAGTGGGGCGTCCGTTTGGCTGTGCGGGATGTACAAATTTGCAGCCACGTCCGGTCAGAATGGGGACGTTAAATCCGATGCCTCGTGTAAAGAGAGTGCCACGCTCTTTGCACGTTAAGAACCCTTGCAACAACTCTTTGAGGGGTCCGTAGGTGACCTGTTGTAAGGCTAAATTTCTGTCCCTATCCAATATACCCTCATTTCCCGTGGCAGTCTAAATTTCTCCGACCTTAATCCCTTAATCTATTACAGAACCTACCTATTGTTTTTATTGTGAACTTGTTCTCGTCCTGAATATGCATGAAATATTTGCCACTGGACGTTAAGCAACCAACAATCAATCAATCAATCAAATTCTGTACCATCACTATGCATCGGTAGTTTTGATATCTCTGGATGGTTTCTATAACACTTTGGAACATTTTAATATTTTGAACACAATAACAGTGGTACGAGGAAGAATAACTGAAATTAACACTTCACGTACATAAGTTTTGCATTGGTTGAAGTCACGATGTGTCTGTACCAAACTTTCTAACTACAAGATGTCGGAGCCTTAGATCTATAGTTACCGAAAATTCGTCTGATTTGTAATTTTCCCCCAGATGACCTATTCCCTATTGGTACATTTGATTTTGCAGATGTACATGGCACATTATGCAAGCATATCAGGAGACGCTTACCCTGTCGATGCACCCGGTCCCGAACCTTTCAGATTTATTGCGATTCCCTGAGCTTTTATTTATTACTTTGATTTGTCTTTTTATTTTATTATTGTGGACGTATGAGATTGATACTACAAGTAAGGGGGGTTTAAGGACCTGGACTACGTATGACAGTTGGGTTGATACATCGGTAAAGTTCTGTTGCCTCAATAAAAAATTGAACTCTTAGAAATGGTGCTAAATTGACCTACTCTAAAATGTTAACGGAACCATCAAAGATGGATGTAAACACTCCTCGCATTTTATCAGCATGGTGTAACAAGCTCAAACATATGGATTTCTTCGGGTAAAGACCATCGATTGACAAATGACCGGGATTATATTTAGCTTCTGGTACTATGATCCGACGGTTGAATAATTGTTGAAAGCTACTTAACCTTACATTCAATCTAGTTAATCAGATTGTACATAATTGTGGAACTCGACGAAATCATCACAAATTACTGCCCAAATTTAAGTACATAAACCTGTGTTCGGTTCCTTCATATTAAGCTTCTGAATAACAAAATGCGGCAACGAAATTCGTTAACCATTAGAAGTAACAAATTGATGGTCACCAGCATTTTACACCATTGTCGTTGGAGCACGTGATCGGCAACACGTGTTAATAAACAAGTCTCAATCAGTACGTTGCATCGGATATAACGTTTCCTTTCTGTCCGGGTGTAATTCTTAAATTTATCATATCCAAAAAGGACGCCTATCTGAGGTTAGGGTTCAACTGCTCGAACGGGAAAAGTCTAGGAATGACCATATGTATATACCATTCTATCCCTGGGGTTGTTTATTATTTATAACTGATGACTCAGAATCTTCAATTTTATATGTCACCTTCGTTC